TTATATTAGAAAAAAAAAAAAAAAAAAAAAAACCAGATTTTTGAATTTTCAAACTATAAACATGATTTTTGAATTGGTGTAAACTAAACACCTTATTTATGAATTTTTCCTATAAATTATACTTTTAGCCAACCCAGGCCAAAGGCCCAATTACAAAACCAAAAAAAAAAAAAAAAAAAAATTAAAAAAGGGAAGGCAGAGGAATAGTTACTAGCGACGACACCACTACCCTCGCCTGCTCGCGGTCTCCTTCTTCCCCTGATGGCATGGCATTGTCCTGACGAAGCTCAGCACGCGCGACCACACCCCTCGCCAGGTGTTGGGTTCGCCGTTGCAAAGCCATGAACGGTAGAATATAGAATTGCCAATATTTTTCATGAAAAATATTTGTTTTCCACCCAAATTCCAATTTGTGTGTTGTTTGATTGATATTTTTTTCCTTGAAAAATTATTTGCTACTTAGAGTAGGATTTTATTTTCCTAGCAATTCTCTCTTTTCTATCCCTGTAATTTACCTACCAATAAAAAATAGACAAGTAAGACATTTTCTAGGTTGAAAATTAAATCAATTAAATACATTTAATTAATAATTTACATGCAGATAAGTTCTGGCAATTCAATTATTTAGAATTTATTTTCTTCCCATTCAAATTTCATACTTGCAATCAAACACATACCCTTAATTGATTGTCGAGCTTGAAAACATTTCTAAGTTTGTAATATGTTATGGCTTGGCTCCAGCTCAACTTGTTTCACTAATGTAGTGTAAATAAGGCAAGAATTCAAGATTGGCTTGGACTACATAATCCTTCGAGCTCAACTCGAAAAATTTGAAGAAAAAGAAGGTAACATAATCGATTAAGTGCAGATTACCCATCCGGTTTGGGCCGGCTACTCGCCAAGATTCGGGATTCTCTGTTCCGTTGCCTCCCTAAAGCAATATAATGTGAATTGAGCAAATTGAAACAAGTTTTCTATTCACATGAATAGATTTATTGCAATACCAATGGTAGAGTTCAAAGACTTACCTCCGTAACCTAGCATTCTCACATATTAGTAGGGACACGAATCAAGTGGCTCGTGCTATGGCTCGACATGCTTTTTAACGATTTTAGTGTACTCTTTGGGTTGATTTCCCTACGTTTACCGTAAACAAATTTAACCCCTATTTGACAAAAGCTTTTTGAAATTATAAATCGACGTGTTCCACACAATACGTGGGGTTAAAAAATGGATAAAATATGTAGGTAAAATAAAGTTTAACTAATTTATAATTTCAAAAGAAATTTGTCAAATAGGAGCTTAAGTGATTTCAGGATTCTTGTCGTGTCTAAAATATGGTAGGGATTTTTTGGGGAATAATTGATTTTTGAATAGTGATATGATGAGAAATGTGTGGTTGAAAAAGGAGAAAAAAGTATTGATGTGATGAAAAATATTATTTTATTGAAGAATGTGTGGTTGAAAATGAGAATTGATTTACTGTAGAAAATGAGAATCTGTACCAAACAGGCTCTAAAATTATACGAGTACCAAATCCAGATGGGGAAATTTTCACATGGTAAAAGTGCATAGATTTTTGAAAAGTTCAAACCAAAAACAAGTCTTTATTTTTTGATAAGTATATTTTGAATTTTGAATTATCGTAATTTTTATTGATATTCATCAAATAAGAATTTTCATAAACTAGGCTATTTTAGAACCAATCTCTTTAAATCGAAAGTGGAATTCATCCTTTTCATTCATTCGGATTTCTTCCATTTCATCAATTTTCTTTGGATCCTCATCTTCTTTCGAAAAAAGGTAGGAGAAGGATTTTATTTGACGGATCTCTTGTTCATGTTAAGTCCCCTTCATTTTGAAAGTTATTTCTATTTTTACGTCTTTTCTTTTGTTACTTTTAATAGCTAAACTTTATTTTTAATCATACATTTCAATGAACCCACAAGTTAGCCGTTCATAAAGAAAATTTGAATTAATAAAAGAAAAGTGTGTGCATAGTGAGTAGAATAAACCTTCGGCGCGGACCGCTCAAAAGGTTCCATCCTGTCCCTATAACTATTAGCAGCTAAAAACCCGGTTCTGTTCATCTTAACGTGCAACCAACAAAGCAAATCAAAATTCCCCACCCAATGTTTTCAAAATAAAAAGGAAAAGCAAAGCCTACTCTAAAAGCCCAAAGCCTTGAAACTCTTTTCTTTTAAAATTCACTTTCTTTCTTCTTCATCAAATTCCTTAACTACAAAGTACAATTTTGGAATTTCCAGTAAATATTAATACTTTTGAGAGGGAAAAAAAAAATAAAAATTTATTGGGTGTTGATTGTTGTTAATTAATATGAACAGGAATCTCTCTGTGGGCATTAAAAGTGGGTGAGCACCACCAGCACTTAACTGCTACTTTATCTCTTTCTTCTTCTTCATCCCACCTAAACTTTCCTTAATATTGTGAAGTTAGTTCACTGATTTATATAAATATATATATATATATATATCAAGTGCAGAAGGGAAAATGCTTACATGCATAGCGCGTTCAAAGCAATCCAGCGATGAATCTATTGACCAGTCTAGTAAACAATCCATCAAAACTCTCACTTCTCAGGTAATTTGTTTATCAATGTAATGAGTTGACATCCAAAATTGTGTGGAATCGACCGAATTGGAAATTATGTGCAGATTTTATCAGAATTTTGAAATGTGAACGTAATGGATGTAATTTTGTAGATCAAGGACATAGCGTTGAAGGCGTCAGGTGCATACAGCCACTGTACGCCATGCACGACCCAGCCGACTCAGTTTCCGAAGAACGGGAGCTCTGGAGACTCCGACTCGGTTGCGTCGGACAGGTTCCGGTGGTCGTACAAGCGGACGGGGAGCTCGAATTCGTCGGGGAGAAAGGAGTTGCAGATAAGGCTGAAGGGAATATCAAGCGGCGAGGGGACACCGACGTCAGCGAGTGGCCGGCGAGTTGATCCAGTCGTGTTCGTGGAAGAAAGCGAGCCGAAGGAGTGGGTGGCTCAGGTCGAACCCGGTGTTCTAATTACCTTTCTGTCCCTGCCACGTGGCGGGAATGATCTCAGGCAAATTCGGTTCAGGTACTATTTCGTAATTTAAACCATTCTTTGCCTCTGATTTTGGACGGTTTGATTTGTTGAAATTTTAATGGTTGATCCTCGTGGAAAACTCTTATTTTAAGGCTTATTTGAAAATTATTTTTTCTCAAATTCAATAAAATAATTTTAGACGTAAATTCATAATTTCTTCCTAATTTTTAATCACATTTTCTAAAAAATAAATAAATCTTTTTTTACTTTAAATAACCTCGCCGGAACAAACATTTATTGATGACCTTTTTTCTTTAACATAGCATGTTGTAGTCGATTGACTTTAAATTATTAAAAATAAATCTTAATTTATTATAATAATGTCTTTTTCCTATTAATTGTGTCAGATGTGCTGTTTTACTCAGTCATGTAATGTATAGCACCAAAATATAATTGAATTGATTGATGTTTGCATAACCCACGCAGAAAAGGTTATTCGCAATTATTACACAAAGTAAATGTGTCAAAAAGTTGAAAATTGAAGTCCAAAAAGAAAAAGGTTTATTCGCCATTCAAATGAAAGGAAATCTAGACGCTTCCCAAGTATGATCCAGCATGTTTGAAACACAGTATTTATATAATAAATAATAATTTAATTATACGGGTCGTGATTGAAGACTAGAAAATAATAGTATTCCCTTGTGAAAGTCCAAAAAGGCAAACTTATAATTAATGACTGGTGGGTGTGTTTTGATTGTGTTGGAAACCTTTTACTAATTGTAGTTGTCTTGTCGAGGATTGCCCATTGCTTTCATTATCAATCTTGGTCATGCGCATGGTTAAAATTGTCATTTCGTGAGCTGTTTCTTGTCAATTTGTTGGGAGGCATCAATCCAAAAAAAGGACATCCTATTTATTCCACTCCGAAACTGGAGAGTTGACGACATATCTATCTGAAATTGGCAATGAGAGAGAATCTTTAGAACTTTCATTTTGAAAATATGTTGAAAATAAGATTTAAATAAATAAAATTTTGCCAGTAGCTGGCTAAACTTTTGAATGAGGTAATTTAACCTTGTATTGAAATAGGGCGAAGTCTAGTGCTCATAGTTTAGTCACTTCAGTGTCGTTAATTTATGAAAATTGTACATGTATTAATCTCAGTATTTGATATGCTCTCTTTCCTTTTTTTTATTTTTTTTATTTTTTGGATAAAATCACAATCATTTCCTTGTACACAAGAAAGCATCAACAATTGGAAATGCAATCTTGTACTGGCCCTACTTTCACGCCTCGTATCATATTCTTTTGAATGGATTGTGAGTCAGTCCATGCCTGTGAAAATATTTAATCATTTTATAGGTTGCTTGATTTTCTAAAACAGTTAAACTCTAAGGGTCCTTTTAGCTGATGCCACTTAATAGTTGCTAAAGCTCTAGTTGCTTTAGATGTACGTGTAACATTAGTAGTGATCGGACAAATGGACGAAAATGATTTATGTAGCTGATCTCAATTTTACTGAGAAAAAGACTTAGTTTGTCGTCGTAGCTATTCTGTTTCTTCTGGATTATTTTGTTCAATTTACTCAGTAGTTCCAATATATGATGTTCTTTTTCCGTTAGTCGAGAAATGTTCAACAAATGGCAAGCTCAAAGGTGGTGGGCAGAAAATTGTGAAAAGGTTATGGAACTCTACAATGTGCAGAGATTAAACCGTCAAGCTTTTCCTCTACCAACAACTCCAAGATCTGAGGATGACACAAGTTCAAAGATTGAAACTGCTGAAGCTAGTCCCATAACACCACCATTAGGTAAGGAACGGCTACCCAATACTTTATTACGACCAACTGGAACAGGAATGGGATATTCGTCTTCAGATTCACTTGATCACCATCCTATGCATTCTCGATATAACTATGACTCTTGTGGTGTGGCTTCAACTCCAAAACTCTCAAGCATTAGTGGTGCTAAAACGGAAACATCATCAATGGATGCCTCCATGAGGACTACTAGCTCGTCTAGAGATGCAGATCGCTCTGGAGAGATATCCATAAGCAATGCGAGTGATTTAGAAACTGAATGGGTTGAACAGGATGAACCTGGGGTTTATATTACCATCAGGGCACTTGCAGATGGCAAACGAGAACTCCGACGTGTCAGATTCAGGTTAGTTAATTTCTTGCCTATTCTCAGTAATTAAAGCATATGTTGAATGATCAGTTGTCTTGCTAGAATCTGAGATTATGCAGGTAGGATATGTTTGATAACCAGTATTGAACTCGACCGGAATATAAAATAAATAAGATTTTAATTTCTTTTTCTTCTTTAATATAGTTCACTACTATACAATTCACTCTACCAAACAAGCTAGTTATGTAATTTCTTTTAAATTGGATTAGAAAGTTGATCTTCCCTTTATATCAAGATGCAAGTGTATGTTAGCTGAAAAGAAAACAGCAAAATTTGTCACTCACATTATGTTACTTATTCCGGCCACTCTTTTAATCCAATCTTGAAATTTTGTAGGAAATATGTGAATATCTTTGATTATTTGTTTGGCAATTTTCAAATATAACCTTCGCTAACTCGAGTTTAATCCAAATGCAGCCGGGATAAATTCGGGGAAATTCATGCTAGGCTATGGTGGGAAGAGAATAGAGCCAGGATACATAAACTATACTTGTGATCGAATTTAACAGGATGCAGAGAGATCCAACCTTTGTTGGTTGAGGAGGTGGTGCCTACTACAGTATTTTCCCTTTGTTTGTTCAGACAAACAAATTAAGACTCGTCCTCTTATGGCATGTTTGGATGTTGACAAGACAGTAATGGACGATATCAATGAAGAAAAGAAGCTAAATTCTCGTCCAATAATACTGTGGTCTAAACATGTCTTAAAAGTATGTTTAGCACTTAGTACCACTAAACAAGACAAAAATACACAAGTGAGGAGTCCCAATTTTGTAACTGCTGGAAACATACCTTGTGGATTGTGGGGTATTGGTTCATCTTCCTTAGCTCTTATTAATTATGTCAAATTATGACATTAAGAGAATTCATAATATATGTGGAGTCCACTGGTATACAATTTGAAAGCTTCAATTGTGGAAAACTTTGATATATCAAACGGGTAAGAGGTCCATTTCTTTTCTTGTACTATGAGTTTTCAGCATATTAATGGTGGAATTATTTTGCTTGCATGTTGTAAACAATGTAAGTTTCCCTTTCTTCTGATAAATGTTTTTCTTTAAGAGTAATTTTATTTATTTATTAAGGTCTACTCTACAACCCCTCCAGTGGCCGAGGCAGGTGAGGGCTAGTGGGGTCCCTGGCCCCATTGAAATTTGAGGAAAAAATAATTCTTATATGACATTTTACTATTTTTTTACTTTTAATATTATCATATTTTGTGTTTGAATTTCTTTTTTTTTATAATTAAATTAGGTCCAACTGAATCCAAGTCCTGACTTGGTCATTGTCCTCTCCCACATTTCTTCTACCAAAGATACCTCAACGAAATGTCTTTGCTAACTAAATGGTGATATTAAAATTTTCGAGTACGACTGATTCCACGTCCTGATTTTCATGGCTTCACGTTCAAATGTACGTCGCCAATAATATAGAAGAAACAGAAAAAACCCTTGTAAGCCTCCTTAAGGTTTCTGAACTTCAGAACATGAATATGGAGATAATATTGAAATGCTTTCAACTTTTAACTCTAAATATCTAAAACATAGTAAAAATAGAAGAAACACGGCCAGGGACAGCTCTTGAGTCTTGGCTCTATTTTTGAGTGTCAGGCCACTCGGTCCGTACATAGAATGACATTCTTTTTGTTGTTCTTCCATAAGAATCCTATTTCTATTTGTCTCATCCCTTCTCCCCTATTTATATCCCTCTTCCTCCAGACTCTGCAGGGTGTTGATTGGTCTAATGCTCAAGCGAGTAGTCAAATTCCAAGATAGTTCTTAAACGAACCATCATCTTATGGAGAAATGTTATAGATAAAATTGTGTCGAATAAATATAAGTTTAATAATCAATTTATAAGCTCTTCTCCGTACACCACATATTAAGTGTTTTCACGTGTTAAGGTTTCTTGTTCTAATAATAATTTCTTATTTTAATTCTATGTGGGAAAAAATTACCCTGCATAGAACATGATCCCCATTCCATCTCATGATATTGCTGCTTTGATGCTCAACTGCACTTTTCCTATTTAAATTATTGTCTGTACTTGCAAACTAGAATAAACTGCCTTTAATCAGCAGCATATGAGATTTTACTTCTCTGTCTGTACTTTGCAACTTTGATACCTATTTGAACACATGGGTTCTGATCAGAAAGCATCTCAAAACCGAATAATCTAGTGGTATCAATTACGCCGGTCCAGACAGTTGAAAAGAGGCTCGGGACGGCCCGCTTATAGGCCTGAGCCACTAGACCCGTCTCAAGATGGTTCGAGCTGAAATGGGTCATGATGAGCCTATAGGACGAAGTTAGTACTGTGTTAATTTGTTATCACTCAACTCGATTTATCTTTTCTGAGTCGAGTGTACCATGAACGATAGTGCCAATGCTCATACGCTTCGTTATGCACTCGACCTGTATGGTTTCCCTCTGCCAGGTTCTACCTCAGTGCCCTAAAAAATGCGTGATGTTTGGGAAACATGGCCAACCATTCGCTCAAGAAATAGCAATGATAGGAGATTGACAGGTCGGAGTTGAGTGATCAACGCCTAAGGGGAGACTTTTACATGGGATGAGACTAAGCAGCTATTGACCGTTCCGACTCGCCCTTGACCTATCTCGATTAGGATGGTCCTGGGACTTTTCGCAAATGGAGCCGGCAGCCAAGTTTGACCCCACTAGAGTAATCCGATGTGGTCGAAAGAAAAGGGCAAAAAGCAGCAGCTGTGGAAGAAGACAGCAAAAGTAAAGGAAACTGAGCAGCACGTTCATAGCCACTCTGGCAGAATCACACGCACGCGTGGTATAAGCCCCCCTTTATCTATACTATTTATAAGCTCTTGAGTTTCTGTAGTTAGCATCAACCTCCCACTCCACCGTTCTTCCCCTATCATTATCCTAGCCAAAATCCAAGCAGTTTCTTTTCCTGTGATTTTATCTGTCAATCCCTTCCTCTTCCTCTGCCAATTAGCATCAGTAGATTTAGTGTTGTGTTCACTCTCTCTTTTTGATGACAGTTCCGTGTAGAGACTGATCATACTGTTCACTTATCCTTAGAGCGCGTTATATTGAAAGTTCCGTATATGTATTTGATTGTCTCACTATTTTTCACTATATATAGGATCTTAAGGAGTCCGTTTTGAGGGTGATAAAAAAAGGAAAAAAAACACAGAGAACTCTTCCTTTCGATTACAGAATTTGTCATTGCAGCACAAAATTAGACAGATATGACAACGTGGGAGAGACAGCAACAGCATCCACGGAGTAAAACACCATCATTTTCTTCGTCTCTCCTTGATGCCATTTATCATTCCATTGATGAATCCAAAGGTGTCAAAGAACAGGAAGTGGAGGATTTGAATATCCGTAAAAGAAACAATGCTGTACAAGTCGAGGAAGAAATTGAAAGTCTTCGACGAGCAATAAGGATAGAAAAATGGATGGAGAACTACAGCAGTAAAAGCACTCGAAGGCCCTTGCCATCAAATTCTTGTTCGTCAACAGAATCGAGCATATTTTTGTGTTCGGAAACGGACTCATCAGCTTCCAAATCCACACCAAAATCATTGGTTTTCCACATGCAGAAACGGAGAAAACAAGCTCAAACACCAGCTGCAGAGAAGCCGGAGAAGATTCTCGAGTTTAAGACTATGCCAAAGAAGGTGAAAGAACCCCTTTCACCTGGGGGTAAAATTGCAAACTTTTTGAATTCTATTTTCAGTCCAAGAAAATTGAAGAAAAACCAGGGCTTGGAGGATTGGAGTGCAATAAGGAAATCAAGATCAATGAAGGAAACAACCACACTTCCACTAGCTTCAAGATCATGCTTAAACAAATCAACGCCGTCTTCAAAAGTTAACAAATCCAAAAGGGCTGTTAGATTTTGCCCGGTTACTGTTGTTCTCGATGAAGATTATTCAAGAACGAGAAAGATGCCAAACTCTAGCATAATCAAGAAAAACATTAACAGTTTCTTGAATTACAAGGGGAGAACTTCGATTAACCAGGAAATTGGAGAGGTTTATGAGACTGATTATGATTTGGATAATAGGAGTTGTACTAGCTCTGATCTATTCGAGCTTGACAACATTAACAGGGTTGGGGTTGAAGATTATGAAGAGTTGCCAGTATATGGAACTACAAATCTTCAAATGAATCAAGCCATTGCTAGAGGATTGGTGATGTAGTTGGAATAGGCAGTCGATTTCTTTTTCTCGTTAATATTGTACAGTAATATCTAGTCGAATATATTGTTAAGCAATTAAGCATCTTTCTTGAATTTCTTTAAACTTGTTTAATCATGTAGCGTTGCTTTTGGATTGGTGATATAGTTATTCCGATATCTTTCCTAGCCCTTGTATGGTAGGGATTAAAATTTAGATTTTAATCTAAGTCACGGTATACAATTAATTTTAGAGTGTGTGTGTGGTAGGAATTTTTGAGGGAAGAATTGATTTTTGAACAGTGATATGATGGAAAATATGTGGTTGAAAAAGAAGAAAAAAGTATTGATGTGATAGAAAATATTATTTTATTGAAAAATGTGTGATTGAAAATGAGAATGATTTACTGTAAAAAATGAAAATCTGCACCAAACAGACCCTTAATCATATATTTCGTGAGATCCGCAACTTTTTAATCGTACATTTCATCAATTTTTTTTTAAAA